AGATCTTAGGAGTTCACTTGGTGCGTGCCCTAAGATCAAGGGGAGAGTTCATGAAGAGCGTTCCTCACCGTTCGCTTTAGATCTTAGGAGTTCACTTGGAGCATGTCCTAAGATCAATGTTAGAGTTCACAAAGAGCATTCCTCACCATTCGGTTTAGATCTTAGGAGTTCACTTGGAGCGTGCCCTAAGATCAAGGTGAGCACGAAGAGCGTTCCTCACCATTCGGTTTAGATCTTAGGAGTTCACTTGGAGCGTACCCTAAGATCAAGGTGAGAGTTCACGAAGAGCGTTCCTTACCATTCGGTTTAGATCTTACGAGTTCACTTGGAGTGTGCCCTAAAATCAAGGTGAGAGTTCACGAAGAACGTTCCTCACCGTTCGGTTTAGATCTTAGGAGTTCACTTGGAGCGTGTCCTAAGATCAAGGTGAGAGAGTTCACGAAAAGCGTTCTTCACCGTTCGGTTTAGATCTTAGGAGTTTACTTGGAGCCTACCTTAAGATCAAGGATGCCAATGTGAGCGGTTGATAAGAGTTCTCTTTAGAACTTAGTTCTTTTTAGAACCCTTTCTTTGAGCCGGACGATTGATTAAAGTTCTTTTTAGAACTTTTTCCTTTGGTCGAACGGTTAACATAACTTGCTCAAAATTTCGATGGAAATCATTTGATACTAATATCAGATTTTCAAATTACATCACACTTTTTAAAAATGAAAATAAGCAAGTAGAAAACTTATCTTTATTCTTGCCGTGACTATGTCGTTCGGTCCTGTGTGCACGCTCGGTTGCCCTTCTTTCGCTCCCAGCATTTCGAGGGTGAATCATTCTCTTCGTGCTGCCTTTTTTGGACAGCCCGCATCTCCCTAATTCGAATGAATTCAGCGGCCCTCTTTGGCACCTCTCCCATGGTTAAATGTTGCCTAACAAATAGGCTATCCGCAAAGAAGCACGGGCTTAAGGCTGTTGATAGGGTGCTGATGATGAACTTCTTGCCAACACCCTTCACCTGTCCTGCGGTCCGGTGTAACCGGTCCATGAAGTTCCTTAGGTCTTCATCTTTTTCCTGTTTGATTTTAGTAAGCTCCATGTAGATAAGGTCTTGCATCTTACTGGAAGCGAATTGCCGTTCAAACAGGCGTCTCAAAGTCACAAACTATCAATGGTCCTGGGATGAAGAGAATGAAATCATTCCAAAGCTTCTCCTTTAACCGATAGGGAAAAAACCTTGCAGCAAATCCTTTCACTAGGTGAATAGATTGTCATGGCGTCAACAAATGACCTCAGGTGCTCCTCCGGGTCCCCCGATCCATCATACCTTTCCAGAACTTGGAGCGCCCTTTCTGGCATTTGCTCTTCCATGACTACAGTTGTAAAGGGATGAATTGCCTTAGCCCGAGTGGCATGAACCGGACGGGTAGGACTCCTCTAGGAACTGTTTTCCCCCTGATCAGTGCCTTCCTGATCAGAGTCTGGGAATTCAACTATGGGTGTCCGAGTGGGTGCAGCCGACCTTTGACTGGGCGGGGCTTTCTGCCCCGCGTCACGGTCCCTACATGCTGCATCCTGCTTGACCCTTAGAGTTTCAATTTCAGCCTCCATGGCTTCCGTCCTCCTCTGCATCTCCTGCATAAACGTCATTGGGTCTTGAGCCATCCTTATGGTCTTGCTAGGGTGTCTTAAAAAATCATCGGCCCCACGGCGGGCGCCAAAATGTTTCTGCAGAAATGGGACGAGGATCTCCGTCGAACGTCCTTCTGTTGCTACCGAGCGTCCTGCTTCTCCTAGCTCCAGTCAACCGAACACTGAATGAGGGGCAACCTGTAGAAGACACTCTGATGCTCAAGTTAGAAATTTTCTCTATAGGTCTTTTATAATTTAGTAGTGAGTAAAACGTGAGTTTACCTCGAACCTAAACCCTTATTTATAGAAGTTAACGGAATCTGACCAATTAATTTACCTCTTAATGGTCATTAATGCAAATCTTAACTGTTTAACAATAGTCGTTATCACATTTATTTGTGCATTAACTCTGCTCAACGGTTGTCAGGACCGAACGACTGAGAGGCTCTTTCCTGCATGTTCAGTGTTCGGTTCCTTAGGTCGTATGTCATCCTAACCGATCGGTAGTGTATGAGCCCAAAGTAACGTAGAGGCTCTCCTGCACCTTTACCGTTAGTTCAACAATGAGCCCATAGTAACATAGAAGAATGAAAGTTGATTGTAAAGAAGAAGAGAAAGAATCACATGATGCATATCACATGGGTATAAATATTTTAACAGAAAAGCTACCAAGGATGTTTAGAAACAACAAGATGAACAAGTATCTTTAACCAAAGAAGAGCTACACCACATCACAATAAAGGTCAACATGATTTTATACATATTTTGAATGTAGTGTGTGTGATTATATTAAACTTGATTGTATATTTTGTTTAATATAAAACAAGTTGAAGAGATAAATCACTATAAGAAAAAATAGTATAAGTGACAGTTAAAATCCATTCATAATGCTTAAATTCATTAGGGAGAGGAGTCGAAGGTGATGCAACGGTGGCGATGAAAATATGGCGATGATTGCAGTGGTGCAGAGACGATGACAAAATAACGTAAAGGTGGGGGTAGTGGTGGCAACGGAGAAAAAGGAAAAGTGAGAGAATGAGGAAAAGGAGTATGAGGAGGAGGGGAGGAGAAATTGGAAGAAGAAGAAAAATGGAAAAATAAAAGGAAGAAAAAGAAGAGAAGAGGAAGAAGATGAACTAGATCGTGATATTTATTAAAAGATATCTATCGATAATTTTTTTGTTGGATTTTTAGTCGTCGATAATTACTAATGAATTTCATGTTTTGTTAATAAAATTTAGTGATGAACATTTTATTGGCAAATTTTACTAACAGAATTGATAAAAAAATACTTTTTGTTGGTAATTCAAATTTTAATTTATCGTCAGATTTATCTTGTCAATAAAATCTGCCAATAAATGTTGTTTGACCGACAAATTTATTCTCGTCAGTACAATATCGTTGATGATTAAAGAATTTCGTCAATCATACAATATCTTGAGAAAAATAAAAACTTACATTTCTTTAAAAGAAATTACTTCAAATTGAAAAACATAAAATAAGAGTAATAGAGAGACAAACTTATGTTTCATTGTTGGTTTCAAGCCTTCTAGTAACCATGTAAGTAATTTTAAATTTAAACTTGAATCAAATTAGATCAATGATGAATTTAATGAACTACGTAAAGAAACAAATAAGCTCACTTTTTTAAATAATAAACATTAGAGTGAGAACTAGGGATGACAACAGGTCGGGTACGAATAATGCTACAACAATTCGATCCTCAAAATAAAAACTCCACTCGCAAACCATATGCTACCCACACGGGTTTCCGTTTCAAAAAACCTGCGATTATTTTAAAACTTGCGGGTACCCCAAATATTAAAAAGAAATTTTATATATATTTAAAATAAAAATTTAAATAAAAATACAAAATAATATATAAAATTTAATATAAATAAAATAAAATACTAATATAAATCTAATTTTAATTAAGTTTAATCTAATAAAAATATAAATTAATTTTATTTTAAATTAAATTTAATAAAATAAAAATTAAATTTTTATTTTTATTTTTTGTGGATAACGAGTATTTGTGAGTTGGATAGTACAATATCCGCACCCAACCCATTTATAAGAAAGTATTTAAATACCTTTTATCCGTAACCCGCAAATAGTAAGTATCTACAAATATCCGTCGCGAATTTTATCCGCATGTATTTGTGGACACGTATTTTTTTGTCATCGTAATAAGAACACTGAAAATAAAATGTATAATCTTTTAAATAATCTTATTTGACATTTATATAATTATAATATTTTCATTTTATTGATATTAGATAAAGGATAAAATGTATATTCTTTAAAGTTTGAATATGTGATAATATTTAATTAATATTTGTAGTAGTAAATAGACGGATAAAAATATGAATATGGATATATTTGTTCCTATGGGATGAAGATGAAAAAATTTTCATAATCATGAAGTATAAAAGTAGTATTTTTATTTTGATATTTAAACTCAAGTATTTTCGTTTTTACGAGTGTCAAACTATTATTATTCTTTTTTATTAATAGTTAACAATGTTAGCGTTATACGAGTAACCAATTAAGGAATTTTCTGTACGTCAAACAATGGAGGAGTATCAGGCCTAATTTACTAAAAACATAGGAAAAGGCAAAAATGTAATTTACATTTTAATCTAAAACGAACTATTTTGTTTACTTTTTTTGCACTCGATTATACACATTCCTATTCTATGCTTACTAAATATAAGTTATGTGTAAAACATTATTTTTGTTTTGTTATGAAGTCTTGTATGTAATTTCTATGGTGTATATGACGACAAGTTATTATCTCTCTCTTGCATAGGTCTTTGAAATCACTTGTGAAAAAAAGCATTCATTTCTTGATTACTTCCAAAGGAAACAACAAAGTGGTGGATCCCCACACTCAAAAATATCATTCTCCTCTCTCCACCACAAATCACATACATGTAACTGTAAATTTTAGACATACATGTCTATGTTTGTGTGGTAAAAATGAAGTTGATATCTAGAACCACTTGCAAAACTTTTTCTAAAAAGTCGGTGGTTCTCCTTAATTTGTTGGAAGCCACTACTATGATTGTTGCCAATTCAGTGAAAGTGACCCTAAGAGGAGAAAGAATGAGCATAGTCTGCTCACAAAAATACCCTCAAACTTAAGAAAGTGATCCTTCAAAGAGTTTAGTCAACCTCCTCGTGCAAGGTTTTGCCACCTATTCAAATTTCAAACAACATGGACCCATCATCCAAGTGAACTGAGGAATCAACCAAGTGCAGGAGGTCCTCCACCAATTAAATGTCAACAACAACAACAGAATAGAATCATCATATCTGGCCTCAAATGGAAAACATAAACTCTGTTAATTATTATTCATCCCTCAAATGAAACTCAGAGATACATCCTCAACAAGAAGACATTATTCAATTAATTACATTTGATCCAAAAGTTACATTGCAAAGTAAAAAAGAACTGGCAAGAAACCACGGTTGTGGACCAGCAGACTGCCATTTTTCTTTGGCTTATTATTCACTCACTCCCCCATGTCTACCACATTATCTCATTTATTGACAGAAGAACCTGTGAGAGTCCACGGTAGATGCATGTTGTGTATTACTACAACAGAAAATTCAGTAAGACCAAGACCAGATGGCTTGATCTTCTTCCTCGGGAAATCCAAAATGACATGAATTATGAGGCTGGTCCGTGTAACCAACATCTTCAAGTTTGGGAAACATGTAATGAGGCAAAAGGGTATTGCTCAGGTTATCTCCTTCATCCTGTGACACATCAGACTGATCAGCTTCAAACACATAAGAAGAGTCACCGGTCTCAAGGAGAGTAGAGTGTACTCCATCAGTGTAACGTGGGCTTTCTGATGAATCAAACATGTCACTCTTTGCTGAACTAATGTCAACTTTGGACCCTGCACCCTCTGAAGCTGAATCAATCATAGACTTCTGCAGCGGCTCCTGAAATCCCTTGGTTTCAGCCCTGTAAAAGTTCCCCTCCTCCAGTTTTTCTCTTTCGAGCACCTTCTCACTGAGCTTTGCTACCTATTTTGAAAGACCACAATCACAAACATTTTCATGAATCATAAAATGGTGCGTAAGTTAACATCCAAAGTGGTAAATGAATCCTTTTAGACGGACACAATTATTTATAAATTGACAACTTGATATGGTAAATCTCTGCATTTGAGACAATGAGTCAATGACCCAGCTATGAGATTCTAACCAAGACACTGTAATGCTGGTTTAAACAATTTCCGAGCAAACTTACTAACAGATTGCCAACGGGAAGACACACTTTATCAAATCAACAATTTAACACAAGTTACTACTTTCAAGAGCAAAATTGTATGCTAACCAAAAGCTTGCCATTCTGTAATTCAACAAGTGGAATCAACTTCAATTACGTTACTACTTTCAAGAGCTAAATTATACATCGACTTTGGCATTCTAGAATTCAGCAAGTGGCATCAACTGAACTCACCTCAGCTTGGAGCTTATCCTTTTCCCTGAGAAGATCATCATAGCTGGCCTTGAGATCATTATAGCATGCGTGCAGGGAATCATAATCCTTCTCCATCTGCTTCGTCTTCCACCGCGCCCGGCGGTTCTGAAACCAAATCGCCACCTGCCGCGGCTGCAACCCGAGTTCTTTAGCTAGCCGAATCTTCCTCTCGGGTTCGAGCTTATTCTCCTCATCAAAGCTCTTCTCAAGAAACTGCACTTGGTCAACGGACAGCCTGCGTTTTTTCTCAGGCTGATGAAAGTACTCGTCCGTGTCCTCATCCCCATTATCATCGTAAGGCAGGAAGAACGACTCGTTGCACCCTTTCCCCCCTTGAACACCTCCAAAGCTCACTATAGATCTTGAACCTGAACAAACAACACCACCACAAAAAGACCATTACCCACGTATAAAAAGTGACAATTTAGACTACTAAGAGTCCTATTCCATCCACCCATGTTTGTAAATTATTGTAGGATGCTTGGTTAACCCAATCACAACTTGGGCAAGTGCAAGTTGTAGTTTTTATTCATGAATTTTTGTTCAGATTGTAAAAGAGTTTATTTTTATCGCCTAAATTAATGTATAAGCTAGGGCTGCCTGTGTTACAAGCCTTTATTGTAATTGAGAAGAGAGAAAAGGAAGGTACCGAGAAAAGGGGAAGAAGAAGCAGAAGAAGAAGAGTGGAAAATGGAATCGAGAGGCTGAGAGGCGGAAGGAGGTGATTGGTTGGGAAGCAAAGTGGTTAAACTTGAAGCAGCGGAAAAGACAGTCCCACCCACCATTTTGGATCCTCAGAGGAAGACCATGGGGTGTGGTCAACGGTGTTGAAATACGTGGATGAAGTAAAACTGTAAAAATCTAAGGCTTGTGGCGGAAGAAGCTGGTGATGATGATGGCGGTGATGTGTGAGGTGTGGGAACAGCGACAGCATACACCCATCACTGAGACTCTCAAAAGATGGGGAATTGAAAAACAAGAAAAAGTGATATTGGAAGAGAGTGGAAGGGGAAAGGAGGTAGGAAGGTGCAGAGAGAGAGAGAGAGAGAGGAGAGAGAGATTGGTTCTGTTGGGGTTCCTGGCAGAGGAGGGAATCGTGGGTTTATACGAGGCACATGGAGCAAGACAGGGATAACGACGATGGTGCTTTACGATGATGCCCTTGTGCAATTAACCTTAATCATTTTACTTGATCCTGTGCATTTCGCACGTTTACATTGCCTAATTACTGTTTAGGGCCAGTGCAACGGGCAACGCCATGTGGGAGATCCTAACATCCTTTTAAAAGTATTTAGCTTTACTTTCTGTGAAATGATTAATTTTCATATTCATTTTGCAAGGTTTAAATTTTTGTTTTGTTCTTTCATTCTTAAATATTTTAATTTTTACAGTCACCTTGTAATTTTTTAATGTTTATAACCTCTTAAATATTTTGACTATTTAAATATATTTATTAAGCTAATTATGTAATATATGAATAAGTTGTTCTTGAAATGTTAAATGAGCTTAATTATTTTATTTAAAATTTAATTGAATCTCAAGTCTTTAAAATTTTGAACATTTTTAGTTGAATTTTATTAAATATTTTCGTTTTATTGAATATTCAAAATTTTTATATATGTAATGATAGTAAAACTTATAATATTTTAATTTATGGACTGCTAATTTCAATTTATCATGTTTTTACAATATTTTATGGATATCCAAATGTTTGATTCCGAATTCATTGACTATGATAGATTAACATGGATAACCTATTTTATCAATTTTACAATATTAGGATATTAGTTTCTAGGCTTTATTTTTTATTTTAATTTTCATGTATGTTTTAATTTTTTTTCCACATTTTTCACTTCATTTTATTTTAATTTTCATATTAGGATATTAGAATAGTTTCTAGATTTCCTTGTTTCTATTTTCTTGTTCGGTTTTTGTTTTTTCTTATTTTCTTTTCTATTTTAGGATTAAAGAGTAATCTTTCACATGTCTTTTGTTTTGCATGCAAGTAACAATTCACGAGAAGGTGAGCAATGAAGAGTAACTAAAAACAAAATTTAAGGTTGTTAGATATATTAATAGATTTACAAGCAAATCTAAACATATTTAACTACTGAATGTATTGATACAAGTCTTCAATAACGATGCCAAAACCTTATTGGTGTCTAATTCTAATCCAACAAGTGTATTAGGTTAGTTATAGTGCTCACAAGTGTCATATCTATATGAAATTGTTCAAATATTCAATTAGTATAAATATGTTTATGATTTATTTACGGAAAAATATTTCTTTAACAACTTTTTTTTTTATAATTTTTTTACCACGTGACTTGTGATTGATGTATTTCAAATATAAGAATCAATAAAACACATAGTTTATTATAAAAAATTGTTAAAAACACTTTCATGTTCTTTGAAAACAATTTGCAGCCTTTATTATGTCTTTACATATTGGAGGATGTATGTCTGTGTACAATTACCCACACATACCTTTAGAATCGGTATATGTACCTGGTACAACTTCGTACAAATGCAAGAGATGTCGTTGACATTGTCCTTGTCACTCTCTATTTTTACACTTCGAAAGAAATTGGTACTTCCTCAAAGTCTTCAGCTGCTTTCATTTCCCTTGGACCAAGTTCAGTTAGTGATTATATAGCTACCCATTTCATAATGGACCTTTTCTGGGTTATAATCAGCAGTTTCTACTCCACCTAGCTCTTGTAAAAGCTATGTGAGCATGATAAGGTTGTCTTTCATAGCATAATGTGTTCAGTGGCCTTGTTTAATTAGACAATCCATTTGCCACTATCACTGTGAATAGAAGCATTCTAAAATGTGAATGATGCAGAACCAAGTTCTCATTATCATTGCAGATACAATTTTGAGCAGCAGGAAATTAATTGACCTTTCAAATAACACATCACAGCTCTTCAGGCTGATTATTACATTAAGTATTGTTGACATATTTTCCCTGTACGGAATAGTATGGTTTGGATGCTTTACATATAAATGATCATTGTTTACTAAGTACCTACTTCTCTCTGTGAACAATTAGTTCTCCAAAACCAAATCAAGCATAGAAATATATGTTGCTTCTACCACTTCATCTTATCTTGACCAGCAAAGGGAGAAATTAACTCTTGCAGAATGGATTTTGTTCGAGAGTTACCTACATGAGAAACAGAATTCAATTTGAATTTTCACTGGTACAAATCTCTGATACATAGATATCTAAATAAACTGTGTATGGCTTCTTTTCAGACCTCAAAAACATTACTCATAAAACACTAAATAAGGATATGATACACTTCTCCAATGTTGAACAAAATGGACGGGGCAAAACAAAATTTGCATGCAGTTTACGACCTCTTTTGGAAGTCTTATGATATATCTCGTTGCCTGTTTCTACATGAAGAGCTTTTCTTCTTGAAAAACTATTTTATAGCCATGTAGACTCCAACCTTGGGACACTTTTCTTTGTCTTTCTCATTCAAATTGACCTCTCCTGCCACAGTTATGGAAAACTTCCTTCCGAACTTCTGTTGAATAAGAGCGCCTACCCTGCCATTATTGCTGAGTCGAGCCTTCAACAATGTCCAAGGAAACAATGCATGCTGAGCACCAATCGTTACACCAGTAATCTCATCATCTGCAAGGTCATACTTCACCTCTGCTGCAATTGCAGTCTTGTTCAGGGGGTTCACTTCAAAATAGCAGCAACCTTTCAAAGTTTGGAAATAGTCATGCCTGCATAATTAGCACCCGCCAAACTTCAGCAAGCACAGTCATTTGGTCTGAAGAAAGAAACATAAGAACACTGAGGACAAAACATTAACCCTGCTTAACTCAGTTGAGGACCTGCACATTGCAGAGGTATCTTAAGTTGGAAATATTTCACTTTTATTGTTTTGGAATATCAATTTTATGGTGCTCATCTAAATAAATGTAGTGCATACATGTGCCTAAAGTACAGACGGTAAGTGGTGTTCTTCATTTGCTTTGCCAAACAAGAAATATTTTAAGGTGTTAATACCAAACCTACACTTTAACTTTCACAGTTTTAGATGTATTCTTGAGCTAGAGTACCGATCACAAATTTGATGTTACTGTAGACTTTCTGATAAATTTAGCCTCTGTTGAAGGATACTCACAAGGTCACGGAAGCAACAAGGTAGGGACTGTTGAGGCTCAATCCAGTATTGAGACTGTTAGTTGTCCTTGTTGCTGATATGTCATAGGCAAGATTAGCTCCCAGGGAGAGAATTCTTGTTCCTATAAGACCAGAGAGGTTTGCTACAGGGCTATATCCTTTTCCTTCGTCTCCCAATAATCCAATGCTTGCACTAAACCCACTGAATCTACTCAAGTGTCGAAGTTCCAACTGCAAAAAATCATTTTGATCCCCAAAAGTAGTTAGATGCAATGAAATGAAGACTCAGTTATTGAAGATGAAATTATTTATGGTATGTAGACCAGTAAAATGTAGTTGTACCTTCCCAGAGTCAGGTATGTTACATGCAAAAAGGCCCTTTAGTCCATGCAAAAGTTCTTCTACTCCAACACATACACAATGAAAGACAGTGTAGTCAGATATGAAAATCCATAGCTTTTTCAGGGTTGAGATATTCACATTACATCTTTGAGGAGGTTTTAAAGAAAACCCAAGAGGGTTTGAGCTGATATATATATTACCTTCACAGGATAGATCTAAATTCCAACCGAAGAATCTGTAGTTAAAGTGAATTGGTGTTTGTTGACAGTAGTCCTTATGAAGAACATCTGACATGAGTGCAGAGTGAACATTAATGAAAGATTAAAATGAAAACAAAAAGTAAAAGAATTAGCAGAAAAGAACTGTGTAAAACCTCTGGCCTTCTTTCCAATATCAAAATATAAGCCCGGACCCTGGTTCATTTTGCCATGAAGAATGAATACAAGTCAATTATAGACATTGTTTATTGGGAAGGAAAGGGGTGAAGAGTACGCTTGGTTTCTGCATCAAGCGATGTTTCCTCGTGTGAAAAAGGACAAACATTGGAACACCACATAGCGAAATTTCCATCAATCAAACTGTAACTATCGTTTACAACTGCAGAGAGAAAGGGGATTGAATCTGATTACGTAAGAAATCATCATTGCTTCGATCTTAAGCTCACTTCACTTGTTAGGGTTTTGGTACACTTTTGGAAACATTTATTTAACCCAAAATCATTATTCAAGTTCCGTAACTTCCGTCGCATTTAGAATGGTACAACTCCCTCCCATTTTCAAATTGGAAAATGATACTTGAACAACTATTTTTGACAACATTTAGACACGCGCACACGTGTCAAAATCTGAGTGGTCCAGTTGGAAAAATTAAATGAAAATGGACCACTCAGATTTTGACACGTGTGCGCGTGTCTAAATGTTGTCAAAAATGGTTGTTCAAGTGTCATTTTCCTTTCAAATTTCAATTTTCTCCAAACATTGTAATTCATCACATTTAAGGTACACAATCCGAATATTTTTTGAGAAGCGCATATCATTAACGTAGGAGCAACTTTTTGAATTTTCGTTGGACTACTGTTCCAGTTAGAACTTTTGCCTGAAATTTTTCATATAATAGGAACATACAATTTACTTTCGGTAAAAGCGGAAGTAAGAAATAAATAAGTTACATGTTCGAGTCATTCATCAAGAAAACAAAAAGAAAAAATGTTTTTTTTAATCAACCAAATACAAATATTGTAGTAAAATAAAAGTGACATGGAAAATACCACCACACAAACACAACCACAAATAAAAAGAGCTATACAAAACACCAAAACAATTAAATTAACTAATAGATAAAAAAGAAACAAGATGGTGAAATGAAAATCAAATAAAAAATTAGTGTAACAAGTGGATAATAATAAGGGTAGACTACTAAGTCGAGTTTGGATCTAACATAATCAATTAAAACTAATCTAAATTTAACATTTTAAATTTCATTCCGATCATTTAATTTATTATATTACTGAGATATGAATAATTTCAAATGCAATTAAATACAGTCAAATTATTCAAATTTAATTTGTTAGATTATGTCTTCTTCCGAGTAACTTCTACTACTGGTGTGGGAAGAACTATTCGTGCTAGGAAGTTGTCTCCTAAGTACCTCGGTTCTTATCAGATCCTGAGAAGTATAGGATCAGTTGCCTATGAGATAGCCATGCCACCCCAGCTTGCAAACCTTCATCCAGTGTTCCATGTCTCACAGCTTAGTAAGTATGTACCTGATCCGTCTCATGTACTAGAAGCCGAGAATGTTCAAGTTAGGGAAGATCTGTATGTGGAGGTGCAACCTATCAAAATCGTGGAGAGCCAAAACAAGCAACTTAGAGGAAAAACCATCAGTCTAGTCAAAGTCGTCTGGGATAGTAGGACCAGTGACTCTACCTAGGAGTTAGAGGAAGTCATGAGGGAATCTTATCCTCACTTGTTCTCCGGTAAGTCTAATTTTCGAGGTCAAAAATTTTTTATGTGCGGGAGAATGTGAAGGCCTGAAAAATAGAGTTTGAAAGAGCAAAAAGGTTATTAAGTTAATAGGACCAGACTTTAAAAAGCCCATTTAAAACATCCTCGTCCATTAGCTTAAGCATTCTGTCTCTCTCTAAAACTCAGTTTTAGATTTTCTCTACCTTCTCTCTACCACAACTCTATCTTCTCTCTACCAAATCTCTTCTCTGAATCGTTTAATATCTAATCAGGTACCGCCAAAACGTCCGCAACGTAGTGGGCTTCAAAACTAACCGATTCATTTCGGGTTTTAAGCTGGTAAGTCCCTCCATGCAACCTCTTCTTCGTTCTTGAACTAGGACATACATTTTGCTGGTTGCACGTGCCTGAAGCTTTCTCCTTTTCCATTTTTTCCACTCGATTCTAGCTCTAAGAGCTGTTTCCATCACCATTTTGATGGGTTGTAGGGTTTTATTGAGTTCTTGCGGTGAAGGAACTGTTGGTGTGTTCTTGCGAGCTATCCAGTCAAGTTACTCTAAGGTAAGGGGAGCTAGAATACTTCTTTAAATTGCTTGCATGAAGTGTATGTATATTGGATTCTGAATTGGTGTACTGTTTGGAGTTGTATTTTGCTTTTGAGTATGTTGTATTGTATGTGTTGATATGTGAAATCCATGAAATTGTGTTGAGCTGTTTGGAATTGATTTGGATGGGTTTGAATTGCTATAATTGACCAATTGGAAGTGATTTAAGTTTAAAATCTGGTATATTTTTGGTTGGATAGAAATTTGGAGTTTTGTGGTATTTAGGTCACTTTAAGAGTAAGTGAGGTAGTGATTTTGGGCATTTGGGGTCTAAAGCGCAACTAGGCTGTTGGGGCAGTCTTAGCCACTGTAATGTGACTTGTTTGAGTCACTAAATTGATCAAACTAGATGCAAAGCCGTGGGATTGGGTTTTGGGTCCCTAGGTTGGGAAAATTGATGTTTTATAGTTGATTTTGAGTTTTAATCACTTTAGAATGGTAGTAGGAATGTTTAGAATTATTTAGATAAGTTTAATTAAGTATAAAACAAGAATTAAGGGTGTTAGAAGTTAGTAAAAATTGTTAGAAATGGTCATGTTGGATTATGCTCATAATTATGCAGAGTTCTGCAGAATTCTGCAGAACGCTGCAGTTGACCGTTCGGTTTTGTGCTGTTCTCGGTCATAACTAGGTTGGTCTCTTTTGAGTCTTACTAGTTCATGATCGTTCGGTCTCTTAATGAGTGTTCGGTTTTGTACTGGCACTCGGTCTCAAGGCTCTAAGTGTTCGGTCAAGGCTCTAAGTGTTCGGCCAAGGCTCTAAGTGTTCGGCCAAGGCTCTAAGTGTTCGGCCAAGGCTCTAAGTGTTCGGCCAAGGCTATAAGTGTTCGACCAAAGCTTTAAGTGCTCAGCCAAAGCTCTAAGTGCTTGGCCAAAGCTCTAAGTGTTCGGCCAACGCTCTAAGTGCTCGGCCAAAGCTCATAGCGTTCGGCCAAAGCTCCTAGCGTTCGGTTTCTCTTCGTGGTCAGTCCTAAACAGTGTTCGGCCACTTCTTCAAGCTTATCTTTTATGGACCGTTCAGTCCTGTCCATTGGGAAGTGAGATATTGTTCGGTCTCCACCATTTATAGGGTGTTCGGTCTTGCTCATAATGTGTTGATGTTTTCTGTTTGGCCGTCATTTCTATTTATTCCAGTATGCTATTTTGATTAATTGTTCCAGTTGCTTTAAGGGCTTATGTGTGCATTATCGTGTTGGTGTTAAAGTTGAAAGCATTAATATTGGACGTAATTCCATGATCCTCAAGGGGGGATACATGGTGGTGCCCTTTCAGTGTGTTTAGAATGATTTGCATGGTAGCTCAGTCTTGGGGGTTTTACTGACGCTCTAATGGTCTTTCATTCTTAAGTAGAGAGGATTGATCCATGTGGTGAGGAGTAGCAGGAGGTCCTAGTCTTGGGTGCTTCCAGTATGGCCCAAGGTGAGTGATAACAGACTAATCTCGTGAGTGTGGTAAGGTGAAACTCATTGGCAATGTCTTTGCAAAGCAGTAGAAGCCACCACGAGTGCATAACCCGCCATATCTTGGCAATCATTCTAAGTCCGGACGAGTCAAGTTTAAGTGCTACAAGTCATGTTTGTATAGTATAGTATATCTGTCTTTACTTGCATGTTGCCTATGACTGTTATAACATGATTTTTATATCTAGCTCACCCTTGCTTGTGTGTTTGTGTTTGCTTGGGTATGCTTTCTTTTGCAATGATCATCCACTTGGATGTGAGCAGAGATGGATGAGGTGCCTCTAGAGCAGGCTTTGGAGGAAGATGATGTTGCTGCTTAGTCTCTTTAGTATTCTATCAGTTATTCCTTATCTTTTGAAATACTCTATTATGTTTAAGTTTTAGATTAGAACTCAATTTGGGATGACTGTAAGCTTAAAACTTTATTTACAGTCTACTCTAACTGTTCTCTTTTATATAAATGTGGACTTACTATATGATTCTATATAATTTGGGATATTACACTTTAATTTCTAAAGAAATATATTTTTTTATACTAATAAAAATTACAATACATTATTTGAATAAAATAACACAAAGAATAAAGTTTAAACTATAATAATAATTGAAAATTAACATATATCTTTCGTTTTTGAACATCAATATACGTTTGAATGGTGATAAACAAGACTCTTAAATCATTATATTATAACAAATGGAATCTTTTAATACTATAGTGATAGAATTACAATAATGAATTCGAAAATAAAAATAATTATATTAAAAATATCAAAAAAGTATTCACATGATAAAAATAAACAATAAATAAAAAAATTAATCAGAAGTATAAGTAATAAAATGTGTCTTAGAAATAATTTGATGTATCCTTCAATGAAATCACACAAAGAAAAATAAATATATAATTAAAAGTGTAATAAGATGAAAAATATCTTAAAGATTTAAATTTTTTTTAAAATATCAAACTAATCAAACTAATAAAAGATAATGAGAAAAAGTGTGTAACTAAAAAAAAGAAATATAAAACTAAAAATTAAGAATATATATATAATCTACCTAATTGAAAAAAATTGAATTTTATCCTAATCATACGTAATCAATATGATAATTTTTTTTGTCAAAAGAACGAATTCAGACAATACTAAGGAGCTTATTTGTCATCTCTTGTTAAGGAACCATAATAGGATTCGAAATAAGCTTCTAACTGTAAAGAGTTTCAATTACTAACAATCAACTCAATAACAAACATAACACAAGAATCTCAGCCTTCAAATTTGCTTGAATACCAAGATAAGATAAAAAAATATTTTGCTTATTACTTGTAAAATGCCTGCAAAAGATTACCATAAATAGTCCGTTCCACTTTGCATTATCATAATCAATAGTAGGAGATTTCTAAACAACCATCACAATTTTAGGAGCTTTCCGAGCATGAATATTAACATTAAAAGTCTTTCAATATTACAAACTCTTCAATATTATTCTCTATCACATCTTTAAATATATATATATAATGAAATTCTTTATAAAGATGATATTAATAGGGTTATAAAAGTTTTAGAATTTCTCATTTTCCAAACACCATATATATATATATATATATAGATCTATATATATTATATTATATATATATTATATATATATATATCTATATATATATATAGAATATAATATTATATATATATATAGATATATATTATATATATATTATATATATATATATATATATATATATATATTTAAGAATACACGTATATCAGTTTTATATTTAGAATATTATTACAATAACGTGTTTCCAAATGTATAGTCTACGATCTCTTATCATAATCTTGTCATTAATCTATTTCCTTGATTATAGCCTAGGATCTCTCTTGTAATAGTTATATATGGTCCTTTTCATGCTAATGGAAACAACACGAAATTAGTTTCCTTCATTTTTAATAGAAAAATATCATTTTCAAGATAAGAAATAAGCATTTGCGGAAGCAAATTAATCAATTAACTTCCACTAAAATTAAACATGAATACAAGAAAGTGAAATAACAGGTTTTTGCACGAGAATGGGCAAATTCGCCTACTATATTACCAAAATAGGCAGTCAAACAAATTTACGTAATGGGGAATCGGTGGGGCCCAAACGACTTCAATGAAGAAGTCGTGCCTCCGCCTGCACGACTTCACACTGTAGATTCTACAGTGCTGAAGTCGTTGCACCCCCAAAAACGACTTCAGAGGACGTAATCGATTACAGTGTGCTGGTACTCGATTACACACGGTTTGAAATCGTGGTCACCCAGCACAGACTTCAACTTGAATGGGAAAAATGGCACTGGTAAATTCGATTACTGCAGTTGTAATCGATTACCAGGGTGTTTTTTTATGGAGATTGACACTGCAAGCGATTACAGGGTCGTGGTAATCGCTTCCCGTGTGTTTTTTGGTTGTTTATGAAATTTTGTATTTAATTGTGGTGGATATTTTGAGTTATTAAGTGTGTTGATATGAAGTGTGTAGCCCGCTCGTGTTTGATTACATTGTGATGATTGTTTTGTATAGGAAGAGTAATCATTTGATTTATAAAAATAAGAGGAATATCATAATTGAAAGACAAAGTATTTTATTGAATAAAGTGCATTACATAAAGAGAACAACCTAAATGTAAAGCAAATGACAGTAGAAATTGAAAGGCATCTAGGAAGATGAATTCCACCGTTTGGGGACCAAAATGACGACGCCGATCTGGATGTCGTGCTCCACATTTTCAACTCTAGCATCAATAGTATCGAACCGGTCACCCATAATTCAGCTCCAATTGTTCAAATCTGCATTCATTCATCATCGTTTCATTAAGTGTTTGAAGCTGTCGCCAACAAATGTTCGTAGATCGTTTATCCCCGTCAATGA